CGCCTGGGGTGTCGTCGAGAACCGTGGGCATAGCGCGCAGGAACTCCTCCTTAGAGATTGCCATGGACATGGACATGGTCTGTAGTCGTTCAGGGTTCACCGGGTTATTACCGGGTTCTCTGTCGAACAGTTTTTTGGGAGCAGCGTGATCCCGCTGTTATCTCCTTCCCCCGTTTTATGGCCGAGTCATCTCGACAAGGCGTCGGTCTTCCCGCACTGCAGGGGTTAAAGAATTTTCAGGGCTCTAAATATGCTCCAAGACATGTTGTCTCTTTTTGAATTAATCTTTCCACTTTGGAAAGATTAGATAAACCAGAGGTCCTGGTTTCAATTCTGGTTGGTGCCAAAAAAGTAGCATTGTTTGGGATGGAAAGATAAGTGATTTTTTTGATTCATGTTTTCATTGGAAACACAAGCCTTCCTTGGTTCAGAAAGAGACAAGGAAAGATAAGTTATGTTTCTATTTCCACTTCTGATGGAAAGACATTTAATATTTCTTGATAAAAGATAAATGGAAAAGATGACTAATATTTTTGATGGAAAGAGTGAGTGCCACGATCAGCGCTTGATCGGCATGTGCCAGCGCCAGATGATCTCCGAATGAGCACCAGATGATCTCTGGATAAACACTTCAGCGCTGAGTCATGTCACATGGTCACACAGTGCCAATTTGTGGGCAGGTTCAAGTCCCAGTGGAGGCATTCTTTTATTCTGGTGAAAAAAACTGCCTGGTGAACTGAGAGTGCTCACAATGGAGGCTTTTGAAGCCAGCAAGGTAACATGTGTTGGAAGTGTTTGAACTCCATAAATTGAGGAAACTTTGTCGGAAAAAAGCCATTCAGCTTGCAACGGCTTGGTTTAGCATGTGACCTTGGGTTGGCTTTGAAGTGCTTCAAAGGGGTGGCGGAGGGCCTTAGAACCACTGTCAATCCGTTCGAAGGCTCGATGTGAGTTCCAACACGTCCCATGCCGTCTCAAGGTATGTGTAGCACAGATACTGGTTACAGGTGAAGAACTTCAGAAGAAGAAAGTGCGGAACAAAATTAATCTACATCATTCACTCGCACATGTCTTCGTCGACGTCAATCAATTTGAATGTAATGCAGACCGTCCTTGCCCCCAAAGATTGAAGTCACCAGACGATGGCCCTAGTGATTATCAAAATCTGGGGCCTGAGCGAGTGGGGCTGTGGGGCTGTTTCCCAACTTGGAACCCAAGTCCGGTTGCGGAGGCGCAGGACGGTGAGGTGGAGCAGGTGATGTCATTGGGTGATGTCATGAATTTGGGGCGCTTATATCAGAGCGCACTTTGTGACGCTCGTTACTCCACTTCTTTTCCTTCCCTTCCACCATCCCCCACCCTCCCTCTCATCCAAGGTACATGCTCTCACTGAAACCATTCATTTAACAACCCAAGACTCCAGCATTTTTCCATCACCAAGTATGTGCTCGTAGTTTCCCTACCATATCCTCCTGACTCAGTACTGCTGGAACACGATCCCCAGGTACAGTTTCTCTGCTGTGCCCTCGGTGGTAGTACTGCTTCAGAACACGATACCCAGGTACAGTTTCTTCTCTGTGCCCTCGGTCTCTTACTGACTTTGGCATCTTTACACTTAGGTTTGTTCCATCTCCCCTGGTACGTTGACTGTTGACTCGGTTATTTAAATACTGTGCTGATCTTGGTCTTCAGACGGGATCATGCTCGTTGCGACTCGTACATAAGCACTGTACTTGATATCTTTGCTTAATATAAATGTTTTACTGCTCCATTTGTGTGCATTGTATTAAAAATTGTCGGAATTTTGGGTCGATAATGCCCTGCTGCCTGGGCGGGTTTGAGACCCCTAGAAGTAGTTGCAAGGTCATGTAGGCATGACAGACCTTGGAGCCCTCACCATGGCTTGGAAGTGGTTGGAGGATTCTGAACTGTGCGTTGCAAGCCAGCTAAAACCATTTGGCCATGCAATGGCTTGGAACACGTTCAATGTCGATCAAAGCTAAATAGGATTTTTCCAACATTGAAGAACATTTATTTTTATAAAATAAATAAGATGGCTGACTAATAGTCCTCACCGTGGGGTCTGACACAGCCACCAAGGTGATTCCATGTGTACTTCCAGTGATTCAGCAACTCCATACCAGATCATCATTTTTCCTGAGGGCTTGAGGGTGTTTTTTCTGTGGCCTGTATCAGTAATTGAGCATGTCACACCACACATGGTGGATGCATAGGTGGCGAGGCTCAGTGGTGGAACACAGATAGCCTGCCCTGTTGTGTGCAGTATTTTGTTGGACAAAGTGTTTCACTCTATACAATTCAGGCTTATCTTAATGGTTCTACTGGTTGCATGTGTTCATACACCGTGACCACATCAGCACAACTCCCTCACTCACATACCAATACATACAGTGAGGGTAGGTCTCAGTATCTCTACACAATACCTTACTACAGTTACATTCCCTGTAGCTATTATACTCACACTAGATACAGGCTTCCAATATAATTACACCCCATGAGGCAACAATATCCTCTATGTCTTCAAGAGGAGTGAGTGCTCAAATAGGCCTTGAGCTCCTTGAGCTCCTTGCTGGGATCACTGCCAACCAAGTCTAGCCTTGCATGCCTGACCCTGGGCGTTTACCGCTTGCAGTGAGTTTCCCATCTCTTTTGCCAGCTATCCCTCACGATTGCCGACATATAGCCTGGAGAGTCAGCTCAACATGCTGGGCGTCCGCGGTGCCCTCTACGAATCTGTCTCAGGCAAGGCCCTTGCCATTGCTAAGTATAATAGCACATCTGTCAGAGGCCACGTCAATACCGTTCTTCCTACCTACGTCGCCAAAAATATTTTCTTGTGAACTTTAATATAAAGCTTATCCTTGCCTGTTCATCACGGATGCACTCAATAGACTTGAGAGACGTCATGCATTACAACTAAGTGAGAAATGCTAGACACCTTTCAAATGTCCAGCAAAGGTCGGGGCGAGGAACAAAGGTGCCAAAATTAGTTCTTTGTTCCTAAAAAGAATGGCCCAAAAGTATACTCCGAGCCCTGGCCGTAGAGCTCCGCTACCAAAATTAGCCGTTTCTCATTTAGCTATAACCAGACGCGCTTTGTAATTTCTTGGAGCAGCAAATCCATCCCAAAGCCGAAAAGCCGAAAAGCTCCGAAAGCAGGTGACAGCGAACTGCCCACACTAGCCCCAGTACTCGAGTGTCCTCCATCGCTGTCTGAAAGCTACACTGAACAAACTGAATCGGCAGAACTACATTTAACAGTCGCACCTTTCCCCTCGCGCAAGTCCTTTTTTTTTCTCATTTTCCTGTGGATTTCTACATCGTGTTGTCTCTTGCACGGCCGCAAACTGCCCACAGAGATCGAGATTCTGCGAACTGCCCACACCACTTTTTCGACTTGCTTCCCCCATACCTCTGTCCATTCCTCATGCAGCGCAAAACTGAATCGCTAGAAGTCTTGGTATTTCACGTTCGTCTCTTCTGCTCGGTCACTCTCACGACTGGCCATTAGATAGGCAGTTTATAAGGCAATCAGCTGATTTAACACCTGCGAACTTGGCATACATAACCAAGTCGCGCCTTCTTCAACACCTAGTATTGCCATCCTACCCCACTTCCACCTAATTTCAGGTCTGGTCTCCTTTGACCTTGGTAAACTTATATTCCCTGTCTGGAGAGTCCTTCGCTCAACTCATCTCCACCCCCAGCTTACCCCGCAGACCCCTGCGTCGCGTGGAATTGGCTCGACAATGTTGCGAACTTGTCACAATCCTGCCCTACCCACTACACCTCCCTGCCTTTTCTGGCTCCACCGTTCTCGAATCTCGCGCGCGGCATTCACGCCGGTGACGCTCCCCACGCCACACGCCAAAGGTAAACAATTGCATTTATTTTTCTCAATTCAAACCCACCTCCGCACCATTTCAGTAGTGCGAACTTGCCACAGATTCTTCTCTGGTCCGAACCCCATTTGTACTTGGACGCCAGGCTCCATCGTTTGCCTGAGGCTTGAAGGTGCAGTGTCGTTACTTAAATCTCTGCTCTAGCACTGAATAAGCCCGCCACTCCTGGTTAAATTAGTTCAAGACAGTCGCAGCGCATGGGCCACCCGCCTAGATCCAAGCGGGCTTGGCATTGTGCTTGTTTATCCTCACTCTCCTTCCATGCTCATGGCCATCCCTCCCCCTATGAAGGCGATCACCTCCAAAGAGGCCACCACCCATGAACTCAAGTCAGCCATTGTCCTTCCCTCAACACATCCTCGCCTCATCCTCTCGCTCTCCCAGGCTCCAGCAGCAAGCCGCCCGCAATGAGAAAGCCCACCTCCGAATGGCCCGGTACGTCGCCACCTCACGCATGCCGCATGGAGAGTTCACCGTATCCTTTCTGCTGTTCTCCTTCCTCCAGCAAACGCGCTGAGCTCAGGGCTCGGCCCCTCACGGAGCAGGAGGAAGCGGCCGAGTGCTCCAGAGCATATCAGGCCACCTACCATGAGAAGTGAGTCGGGCGTCCGTTGTCCTTTGAACTCGTCGGGTGCTGACCGCCGCTAGGAATAGACACAATTGGCGATCTGGGAGGCTCACCGTCGCAACGCGTGCATGGCGTCGTTTCAGCCCCTCTTTGAACATGTGATTAATGATTTTTCGCAGTGTGTACAAGGCGTGCTTTGGCCAGGCGGCCTACGTTGCATACGCCAAGGCCTGACAGGACCGCAAGCGTGCGGCCCGCGCAAAGAGGAAGGCGAAGGAGGCTTACCACGAGAAGGATGGCGACCTGCGGCCCAGCGGTCGCGACGGGTTTTTGATTGAGGATCTCTTAGCTTGAAATCTATGCCGTCTTGTTCTGAACGACCTCTTTTTCTTTTCTGACTGTTTTTTTTTTGGCTTCCGCTTGTATTCTCAGTTTTTATTATCATTGGAGCACGGTGCACCTGAACAAACTAAATATAAGTACCATCAAAGAAGCAAAAAAGGAAGTAGCAGCTGCTCTGGGAATTGAACCCAGATCTCCTGCACATATAAGTTACCTGCTGTCATCCAGTGGGAGCAGGGCTCTACCATTGAGCTAAACAGCCTTGAATTACATGGCGTCTTTTGTACCTTTTTATCCTTGTGTGTCTCGATGCGATCCAAATGAAAATCCAATTTTCTTCGCAAGGCATGTCACTGGTGCTGACTCATCTTCGCCAACTTCACCGTCAAACTCATTCTGAATGCAATCTCAATCTATTCTAGGTACGCTAAGTGGTCGCTCGCGCGACTTTCACTACTAATTTTAAAAGACATATACGTCTCTGACTTTACTGAACAGCTTAGTGCTCGTGCATCCCCGGGTCTCTCGTTTGGACTGCCATGCGGCCTGCTCTAGCACCGTCGCGGTGCGCTCGAATGTCGCGTCCGAGCGGAAGCCCTTGTCAACCCAACGCAGCGCCCCGGCGTTGCATGACTGCCTTACCAAGTACCGCGTCTTGTGTGGCGCCACTGCCACAAAAGAATACCTCTTGCACCCCGCAGTGAACAGGACCGTCGTCCCCGGGGGCAGGGGCAGCACCTTGAGATCCTCCCAGAAGATCAGCCCCCCCGCTGGCACCAATCGTAGTCGCCCACTGTGGTGAAGGCCTCCACCGTGTAGAAGACGCTGTCCTCGCTCTTGCCCGAAAGGCTCGGCGCGTCGCAGAAGTGGATCTCAGCGGTTGTGAAGATGGAATTCTCAAAAGGGGGAGCGACAATGTTCCTCTCGATGAGCTCAGACACCTTGCTGGCCACGTCGGCGTGCAGCGCCAGGAAAAACTGCTCAAAGAGATCTGGAAGCAGGTCAGTATGGGCCTCGCGACTGGGAGTGGCAACACTTACGGTTTTGATAGGCCGAGATCGCATTGAAGGCGAAGCTCCCTTTGATGAACTGGATCTCGACCAGTGACGTTCCCGTGGTGGCCGTGCAGTTGTGCAGTTCGTGCGGTACCTGGGCGATGTGCGTGAGTTGAGTCGATTGTAGCTCGAGTGATAACAGCTTGACTGACCGCATAGCTCAGGCCGAAGCCTGTCCCGAACGTGACACGCGACTCGAGCTCCCCAAAGCGGGTGAAGTCGGAGTTGCGGTGGAGACGGGCGAGATCCTTCGTAGTCTGCTTCGCGATGCTTCCCCACCATTCGGATTGGCCTTTGGGCGCGTCAGCCAGCACCGCCATCACATAATCATGGCGATCGAGCATTGGCTGTGGGCGCCTGGCAATAACAATCGTAAGCGAAAGCGTTGTCCAAAAATGAAATCAGCACTTACTCATCGTTCCAGTCATGGACGTGGACGACGTATCCTGTGCGCACCAGTTTTTCAAGCTGCCAAACACCGTGGTCTGAGCTGTCGCCTACGCGGCCTTGGCGGAGACGACGGGAATGACGCGAAGGTACGGACGGGACCGAGGCCTTCGCATCCGATTCTTCCGAGGCCGCCCTCGCTTTGCTGCCAGTCGCCAGTTGTCTCTTGGCTGCAGTCTCCTTTTTTGCTTTGGCAGCGCGTTCCGCGTTGATGCGCGCCTTGTCTCTCTTTAGGTAAGTCGTGATGCATGGGCGCAGGGCGAGTCCGAGGAAGAGGGATGATTCCCGCGCGCTGCTGGGGCGCGGACTACGGGCACGCTCGGTGGGGACCTCACTCAGCGAGGGGCTCGCAGCGCGGGGCTTGTCGGCGGCAGGGGCAGGACGCAAGAGGATGGGGCTGCCTGCACGGGCGGCGGTCAGGTGAGGGCGAATGGCGAGGTCGCGGAAATGAGGGGCTCGTGCGCGGTCGGGGACGCTGGCGGCAAGTACAGGAGTCGCAGGACTGGCAGCGCGGACGGGCAGCAACGGTGTGAATGGGCTGCTGAGGTGCTCTCCCGTGACGCCCATGTGGACTGACCCTGAATCAGACAGGTCGCCGCTGTCGTTGTCTGGGTGAGGTCTTCCAAGCCCCTGCCCGGCGCACAACTCTTCAGGGCGCACCTGCAACCGCCGTCAGCGACGCTCGGGAAAAAGGAAGGGATGGCTCGCACGTCACCACGGTAAATCGGGTCGTTGTCTTCCTTGTACATGGTGATAACATTCTGGTGCATCAGGCAATCAACGAGGGAGTATTCCACCTCCGTGCAGATTGGCGGTCCGGGCGCGTCTCGAGAGAACATCCAGCCGCCACTCGAGCGGCCGCGACGAGGAGTAGGGACGCGAGGGAACTGGTCTTGCGTGGACATCTCGCTTGAGGTTTTTTCTTTTTGCGGGGGCGCAAAGTTTTTTTTTATAAAAAAATGCGGAGGCAGTGTGAGTCTTTGAGGCTCCTGGCGTGCAATGATGGTAATGCGTTCGCTACAGTCGGGAATCTCAGATGCTATGGATCTAGCCAATGGGTTGGCTACCCGGGTGGATCTGAGATCTCTTTCGCCATTTCACACTTATCACGATGGCGGGTCTGACTTATCGCCTGGCGATTTATTTGCAGAACTTTGGTGATTGGACCAGAACACGCGTCACTTATACCAGGCCACGCCAGAAATCACTTTCCAAAAATCCCCGTCTAGCGTGCTTCCAAGTTTGCCTCCTAAATGCAAGCAGAGCCCATGTCGACCGCGTCTCACCCAGACATGGTGGTTCCGCCCAACAACCATTCGGGCGACCCCGCCCTCGACAAGACCGTCGGCGACGCGCACAGCAAAACCGCCTCGGACCGCAACGCCGACTCGGATGGCGGTGGCGACTCGAACAACAACGGCGACTCGGACAGCGACGACAACATCCCCGACCTCCTCAATGCTTCTGATGACATGGCAGGACCGTACCCCGTGGTGGATTACGCATTTCGTGCACATTGTTCTCATACGGAATTGGATGCGGCTGTCAAGCGCAGGTAAGTGTGGTCGACATCGCACGGGCGTAACTGATGAAGTGCGCTACAGTTGGGAGTACACCGTGATGCAGCCGGCATACATTGCCTACAACCAAGTTTGCCAAGTCAAATGCGCGCAGGACCAAGTTTGCCAACTCAGGTGGCACTTGAAGACCGACCTGCAACACGGCGAATCAATCGTCTGCGTGGACGACGGCAAAGGCGTGGAGCATGCCTGGCCAATGCTGGCGCCTCTCTGTCCGAGCCCTGCCAAATTTCTGTACGTACTCCTGAAATCCTGCCGCGCGCACACTTATTGAAAGCCTTTATGGCCCAGCTGCTCCAAACTTTAGTCGGTCGCGTCGCGTTTGGGGCACACTACTTAGATGCTTGGCCACATACGGATTTGCAAACCCAGCGTACATACGTACATAGTCGCCCAATAATAATTTTTATTAATAGTATTTGGTCGTGGTCGCATCTGGATTGGTTGTTCCAAATGGGGAAGAACCACAGGTATGGCGAGTTTCACATCTGCCGGTATCATTTGAATTTCCCAAATCGAGAATGAAAGGCTGGGCAGGGAACGGCGGCTAGTGGAGCATGTGCTCGTATTGAGACCGGTCGCATTGGAAACCAGGCCAGGCACCTGCACTTCAAGGGAGAACGGGACGGGGCAAAACAATTTTTATGGGTCAAGTAAGGGATTACATTCAGCAACAAATGGTTGCGCAGATGAGCTTACAAGGGGTAAGGGCGAGCAAGGCGGCGGGCAGGAATACAAACGGGCCCACGAAGCGCAGCACGTGGCGCGCGTTGTCGGGCGGAAACTTCGGATTGCGCTTAATATTCGAAGTTGGTGGCGGGGCCCATGTTATTGGTAGCAATTTGGCCGGCCTTGCAATGGTGAGATGGGGCCTGCATTGCGCAGCATGGTGATTGATTCGCGGCGCCTGGAAGTTTGGAAAATGTGCTAAGAGGAGGCTGAGCTTTGGGAGAGTTTGTGCGCTACCTGCCCCTGCTCCTTTGACCTCTGAATGTTGAGCCCAACGCGAGCCCCAGGTTCAGAAAACAACCCTCTGTTCGTTAGCGACAGCCCGCGTGAGTTGGAGATGCCCTTCAAAGCATTCGCGACTTACTCACCCGTGTACGCACGCGCGTTTAGCCCGAGGTTCTGCAAACAACCCTCTGGTGGTCAATGACAGCCCCTGTGAGTGATGGGCGCCCTGAGATGGGCGAGTACCTGACATCTTCCAGCGCGTCCCAGGGGTGGACGTTCGGCCGTGCACTTGGTGCTGAGGGACCATGCACGTAAGTGTTGTCGCTGCATCTGGTGGGGAAGGCGAACTGAATATTTGATAGCAACGATTCAGCAACCGCAAATCTTCAGAGGGCCGCCATTGGATTGTGCGACACACCCAGGGAGAGGACATGGCGGCAGTGCAGGCACGCATCCGCGAACTCGAGCTGGAGGATGCCCTCGCGGATGCGGCTCGACGGGCCCGGCAGGTGAGGAGCATCAGCGAGGAACACCGAGCACGCAAGGTGATGCGCAAAGAGCAACGCGAGCTCTTTCTCGAGGACCATCGTCGCTGGGTGCAGTTCAACCGCACTATGGGGCATCCTCCGCCTCCCAAGGAGCGTATGGCCGAGTCCGTTCTCGGATTTCGCCCCTGGCATGCTGAAGGTAACCCACTGACGTACGCGATGTTGTGGAGGGACGGCGTGGCTCCTAACCAGCTGCTGCCAACAAAGCCGCATCACCAGTGCGAGATCTGCTGCCTTGTCAAATCTCATCCAGTGTCGTACATGTCGTCTGTGGGCTGTGTCTCTAGATAGAATGAGCTGATGATTGTGTGGAACAGATACGTGTGTGGCCATAGTCATTGCTACGCGTGCATTCGCCTCTGGTTGGAGTGCAGGTGGACTTGCCTGGTGTGTATTACGCAGATGCACCGACCGCCGTTTCGGCACTACGCGGAGGAGGGGTGGTTGGAGAGTGAATATCCTGACTGGAAGGACGAGAGCAAGGTGGATTATGGATTCGATGGGCTGATCTTCCCGGGGGCGTACGAATCGGTGGTAGAGGAGGAGGATGATGTTCAGATTGACTAGCGGTAACGGCTCAGAATACGTAGTCCAGGCAGCGAGAGTTTGTAGTTTGCAGCAAGGTGGACGTGAATGATCCCAAAATGGAAGGTCGGGATGGCGGACCGAGTTCCTGTT